GTTTCAGAGGGCTCATACGTATAATCTGGAAATATATTAGGGTTCAACAGCCAGATGCTGGTGCTTTCAAATAGGTGACAAGCATTTTACACCGTAGCTGCCTTACCATGAACAAGTCGATGATTTGAAGATTCGTAACAACTCGCCCAGGATATGCCTTCAGCCATTTAGCAATTTCTTGGTTACAATAGGTCTTCAAAGGCCCAAAAAAGGAGATTTGCTTCATTTTATAGAGTTATCCAGATTGGTACTGAAGAGGTGTCTTATTCCGAAATATCAAATGTCCACCAGTGAGGATAATAGTGTTCCATGTCAGTGAAATTTTACCTCTTTCATTTAATATAATGTGTATCGATATCATCCTGTGGAAATATATTGGGGTTCAACAGCCAGATGCTGGTGCTTTCAAATAGGTGACAAGCATTTTACACCGCAGCTGCCTTACCATGAACAAGCCGGCGATTTGAAGATCCGTAACAACTCGCCCAGGATATGCTTTCAGCCATTTAGCAATTTCTTGGTTAAACTAGGTCTTCAAAGGCCCACAAAAGGAGACGTCAAGAGGTTACATGAAATGTGCAGAAAAATAACATTAATACCGTTTTTTTGCATATTCCAAATGTTCAATGCCTTTATGACTTGCATTTCCATCAGCAATTAGAATTACTTTATCGTCAATATTTGCTTTTACAAAACTTTGAAAATGCTTTATTCATTTTATAAATATTTCGGTTGTCATTCAGCCTGATTGTTAAACTACACTTAAAGCGCCAGCAGGAGCTTCATCTATAAGTTCGTTTTTCATATTTTTTCTATGGAATATCATCATCGGTATGTTCCTATGTTCCAACAGCATTAACACAACAAACAACACTGGTGTTTGGACCACGCTCCGCACTAGTTATAACTCCTTCCCCCTTGTTTCCTTCCCGTAGTAGCTGAATTTTTTTCCGCTTTTTATACTGTAGAAAGCCCAGAATTACAAATACTATAGCCAACAGATTCCAGTAATTTTCCATACAATTGATAAAATGTTTGAACATGCGACCGATTCAAAGCTTGAGCGCGAGCTGCTGAAGTGGCTTCTGGTTTGCGCAAAAATATATATTTATTACATCTTATAAATCCATCCATCCAGTCTTGATGGAACCGTTTTTCCCAAGTATCTAAAAAGTTTATCCTTGTACCAATGATTGTGTCCATCCCAACAAACGTCTTTCAAGGAATTTTATATGCTCAACTAATTGCCTTTCTACATCCAAGGTCTTTTGAATTTGACTCCTAAGTTTTATTGATGTCGAAAAAATGCCGCGAAGAGTTGCTTGAGGAACACTTAATGTTTTTGGAGTCAATACCAAACCATTTTCCCATCTCGAACTGCCTCGATGACTTTCTTCATCGACTCCGTACTCCAAGATTGCCGATTAGTCGTCAGTTTATAATTACGTGGCATTTTGGTATACCTACCTACCTACATATAACACAAAATTTATGGACAAAATGACAAACTTATTCTATTTTGTTCGTTACTTATACATGTCGTTTTCTCCCTCGAGCGTTTTAAAACAATAAAATTGGTAAATAAATATACGAAGAGCTCTTTTTCTGAAAATAAGTTATTCAATTTGAAGATGGATTTTTGAGAATTGAAACAAATGCTACAGAAACAGATAAAACAGAAAAAACTCACCATTTGAACAAAAACTTTGTCGGAATGAAAAAAACTCGCTGTAAATACCTGTCATTGGCCATGACGAAATTTGACAGTTTATAGAGTTATGGCCACGTGTTGTCACTGTCAGTTTCGTTTCAAAGTACGCCAAATTCAAAATAACCCACGTGGTGTCACTGTCAGTTTCGTTTCAAAGTCCGCCAAATTCAAAATAACCCGCGTATGTCATTTTGCACAGATAAGTCATATATATATATATATATATATATATACACATATACACACACATATATATATATATACACACACGTGTATTGTAGAGATCTGTTGATGATATCCTGGTATGTTTCACAGGAACATACAGTTGACTAACTTTTTGAATTTCATCAATTCTCTCCATTCTTCTATCACATTCACAATGATGATGGAATAGGCCAACTCTATAAATTTTTTGGACTTGATGATAATAAAAGTTAACAACAAATATGATTTTTCAATTTATCGTAAACCGGCACATACAAATATTATCATCCATAATTCGTCCACTAACCCATATTAGCATAAAGTAGCAGCTTTCAACATTATAATCCACAGACTGATAAATGTACTCTTTTCACTAGTTCGGACTTCCATTGTGTACTATATAAAATGATTTGAAATCCCTGAAACAACTAAAAAAAGAAGAATTAAAAATAAATAGCTGAAAATAACAATTATTTTAAGCAAAATAAACCTGAAATGAAATAATAGTGAAATAAAATACAAGTAAAATAGAACAATTGAACAAAAATAAATAAAAATAAAGAAATGAAAAAAGAAAATAAAAATA